ATATATATATAAGGAAAAAACGTTCCTCTCTAAATTATAATTGCTATCAAATTATATTAGGCGACCAATTTCTGAATGCAATTTGTGTCAAAACGAAAACAACCTTGAGAACAACGGGGAAATAGTCCATGCTCCAACAACATCTCCAAAGTCCAAATGACTTATGAATACATCAATTTTCTGCAATACTAAAATATCACTAACTATCATTCACTCGAATTTCGGTCGGAGGTGCCCGATCGATTTTCGGAAGCCATCGAAATTCGGGACCCTGAAAATCGGTGGTCCACGACCGCAATTAGAAGGGACTGTTCGACAGGTGACAAACGAGGAAAAATTTTGGTGCCACCACAAAAAAATCTTGCGGTCTTCAACACAAGTATCAACTGAGCATAGATCCCATGTACGAGATATATCATATAAATAATTTTATAATACAATAAACTAACCAAATCCGTGTTATTGATCGCCTGTTGCAAGAGCGACCGTTTCAAGCTTGAGGCTAGTTGATTGTCATATGCGGCTGGTTGTGAGAGAATAACGAATGCCAGAGATAACGATTTATTACCTGCTAAGAGCAAATACTCAGCTCTCAAATGTTTTAGCTAATGCAATTCTTCAAAATTTTCAGTATTATCATTCTATGTATCCTTCGATCATATTAGCTATCTGTTACATGTACAATATATGAACGAAAGTTTTAAATTTTTGTCCTGCGAAACACTATCAAAAAATTGTAAAAAGTACAATAAAGGACCTCCCTCGAAAAAGTTACCTTGTGCATAAGAGCTAATCAAAGAGACAGTTGAACATATCACGATAATGAACCAGCTACGTATCACACACCACCAGTTCATAACTCTTAAGCATAGCCCAGTAATGATAATAATCGCAGTCAATAATAATAATAATGACAATCGCACTAATAAAAATAACAATAATAATAATTTTTATAATAAAAACTAATCACTCGATCAGATACGTAGGAGCAACGTCGTACAAGAACGCTTTAAAAAGTATCAATGAAAATAAACACAGGAATGAATTTTATTTGTACAATAAACAATGATTATAACACTTCTACACTCAACCGAATCCATATGCAAAACAATGAATAAATAAATGAATAAGATAACAAAACCTGAAATTGATAACAATTAACAAAACCTTTCAAATGGACAATCAAAGTTTACATTAAGAATCAGTGAACAACACAACAAAATGACATAACTACACATGCGAATTGCATCTGTATTATAAGAAAGACTTCGCGCACTCACAAAATTGGACAACCTTTGATATAACTTATGCTTCTAATCTCCAACTCCTTACACTGAACATATCGGTCATCAGCAAGATCTTTCTCTTCAAATTCATATCAAACTTACTGAAAGACTGGCAAGTTGTTGAAGAACTGATCTTATCTGCTTGATTCAGAAAGTAGCATCTGCCAATGACCTGTCCGTACATGAGTCAGAACATCTTATTCATCTGTTCAAATCCTTGGAAATTTGAAACATTCCAGAAACTCAAACCCATTTTCATTTTTAAAATGAGAGTTCGCTCATGCTGATTTGAGTTATCCCATGAAGATCATCCATGGCAAATGAAGAGAACAAAAATCACCATGAGCATAAAAATGCTGAACGCTTCAAAAGCTCGATAATCTCACACAAATGCTCAAGCTCAAAATCTCATGAAAATGCTTCCACACGTTCTCATAACAATGCAAAAGTGTGCTTAAAGGCCATAAAAACTCACTAATTCTATACCAAAATCAACGCAATCATCTCCAACAAACAAAAAATTAATGAAGATATAATCAAATTCTCTAAATGAAATGTATAAATTAACCGAATCAATAATATAAAATAACAAAAAGACTGGATCTGAGAAAGCAATCTGAGTAATGATAACAATAAGGAAAGGTTCAATGAAATGGGACTCAGTTGAAATGCAGTGCCGAATAAACGCCAATCCACGCTACCATAAACGTCGCAAATGCAGCACCGAAACCTTCTTTTGCCAACTCCCAGAATCCTCCTAATGCATCCTCATCCACCTGCACACAGGCAAATAATCAAAACAAGCTCATCAATAACGTCAATTGAAGCAAGGCGTCATTAGACAATGTATTAATTTATGACATTTATCAAAATGATATTTCAACCGACTGATTTGGATTACTAATCCAATTGCAAATTCCCAGTTTGAACATCTTTCGCGAAAATAAACTAAGATAATCGCCTTTCAATAACAGTTCCTAGGACTCAATTAGCCTTTATAATCAATGGCTTGACAAAATTTTTGTCCGATGCTTCACTCACATATAGGTCGAAGTCGAATAAAAGAATGAAACAAAACCTTTTGAAAGTTGGTCACATAAAGCTGCGCGATAATTGTCGATAAGAAGATATAGAAGAGAATGGCCAATAGCCCATGAAGTGGGATTATACCCCAAACAATACCAACCAATAATGCGAGCAACTGCTTACCCCAATATAAAACATCTAATAATTCATCTTTTTCTGGCCAATCGCTACCACTCACGAATGCCTTTGACAACTGAATTCGTTACCATTCATAAGAATAATGACTAATAGAGCAGTAACAACAACAATGGATATTTGCTTCGGATTTCTCTGTTATAACTAGTGTTCATCGGGGAACAGACTCCCCGTCGGGGAACGCGGGGAGTGCTTCCCCCGCGCAATTTTCTCCCCGACTTTTTCGC